TTGTTTCGGAATTTAATGACCGTTCGTTGTCGCAATAAATATTCTTGATTTTTGGAAACATGTCGGAAAAAGCTTTTTTACTGTGGAAAAAACATCGACATGTAGAATTTCTCCTGCACAAAATGGAATAGGAGTGATACCTAACAATTTTTTTTTAGGCGTCTATCATACTGTGCTATTGAACAAATTTTAAAATTTGCCGCAATTTCTGTTGTTAATCTGGTCACATTTGGAAAAAAATAATCACGGAGTACGCTTGTTCTCTTGAGCCGCTCGATGAGCACTATTATGCTCAGACGTTAATATTTCTCTTTTTTTTTACTTTTATCATTGATCAAATGCTTTGAATACCTAAATGTTGTTGTTGGCAACATTTCTATTAGCTTATGCTAAATAACGGTAAGCATTGGGAGCGTCAACGTCAGCATTTACTACATCTTGTAATGTTTGCATTAGTGTATTTTTGTCAGACGTTCGAATGACATGCCTTGTCTTTGTTTGAAACAGTAAGAATGCTCTTACTGATGAAATGTCTGCTTATTCAATGGTAATTTGATTCCTGAAACAATTGACCGGCTTGTCCGTTGCGTCCGTTACGTCAGCCACTCTTTTCTCCTTTCCTGGATTGTAAATAATTTTCGCATTGTGTTTATCAATGAAGGATTTCCAGCGTTTTATTTTCGCATTTGCATTTCGATCCGAGAGCGCAAAAGTCAGCGGTTGATGGTCCGTATAAATGTTTAAGTCTCTAACTACCTAATGGTAATTCCAATTGCCAAGAGTTCCCTCTCATTGGTTGCTAACTCAGATTCCTTATCTCGCAAAGTCGTTGAAATCACCGCTATAGGTGTCCCGGTCTTGTGAGAATTCTGCTCCAAGGCCGTGTCCTGAAGCATCAGTTGTTAGATCAAATGGCTTCTTATAATCCAGGTATCTTAATATGACATCTTCAGATACTAAGATGTTTTTAGGTCTATCAAGCGTTTGCAACTGTTTAGCTGTAAGTTCGATTTTGACCTTTCTGGAATCATTGGTGCTTACCTTAGCAGTGACCCCTTTAAGTATATCTGTTAGGGGTGTTGCGATTGCAGCTAAGTTTTTTATAAAACATCTATAATAACTAGATAGACCGAAAAAATTACATTAACTCATATAGATATGTTGGCAGTTTAATGGACTGTATTGCCCGTGTGAAGTTTTTATAGCTCCAATAGCAACAAAAACCCGAGATATTCGACGCTCTTTTTGAAAATATAATGACATCATCTACATAGACGTGATATATTTTCCCCATGTGTTCTCTTAGAACATCATCTATTACCCTCTGAAAAATACTTGGAGCGTTTTTCAATCCATACGAAAGTCGGCAAAACTCGTACTTCCCACTGTTGACAGAAAAGTCGGTTTCTCCCTATCCCCTCCTGCCAGCTCGATCTGATGTTATCCTCATTTCAGGTCAAAAGTCGAGAAATACTGCGAGTTTCCCATGTACACAATTACTAACTTTCTTATCTACTACCCAAATAGGATTATTATAATGCCTAAACTCCGCATTTACGAAGTCAGATACCCCTAAAGGGTTTAAAAAGAACAGTGTTTATGTTAAATGGTACAGCTACTTTATTATGAAGTGGCGGTGTTGGTAAAGTTGATGCGCGTTGCATCATTTGTGGGTTCGAATCTTAGTATCGTTATGTCGATTCTTATTTGTTTTTTTTTTATAATTTTTGTTAATACTCTATACAAACTACGAAAAATATTTAAAAACGCAGATTTGACTGGGATCAGGGTAAGCATTGGGAGCGTCAACGTCAGCATTTACTACATCTTGTAATGTTTGCATTAGTGTATTTTTGTCAGACGTTCGAATGACATGCCTTGTCTTTGTTTGAAACAGTAAGAATGCTCTTACTGATGAAATGTCTGCTTATTCAATGGTAATTTGATTCCTGAAACAATTGACCGGCTTGTCCGTTGCGTCCGTTACGTCAGCCACTCTTTTCTCCTTTCCTGGATTGTAAATAATTTTCGCATTGTGTTTATCAATGAAGGATTTCCAGCGTTTTATTTTCGCATTTGCATTTCGATATGAGAGCGCAAAAGTCAGCGGTTGATGGTCCGTATAAATGTTTAAGTCTCTAACTACCTAATGGTAATTCCAATTGCCAAGAGTTCCCTCTCATTGGTTGCTAACTCAGATTCCTTATCTCGCAAAGTCGTTGAAATCACCGCTATAGGTGTCCCGGTCTTGTGAGAATTCTGCTCCAAGGCCGTGTCCTGAAGCATCAGTTGTTAGATCAAATGGCTTCTTATAATCCAGGTATCTTAATATGACATCTTCAGATACTAAGATGTTTTTAGGTCTATCAAGCGTTTGCAACTGTTTAGCTGTAAGTTCGATTTTGACCTTTCTGGAATCATTGGTGCTTACCTTAGCAGTGACCCCTTTAAGTATATCTGTTAGGGGTGTTGCGATTGCAGCTAAGTTTTTTATAAAACATCTATAATAACTAGATAGACCGAAAAAATTACATTAACTCATATAGATATGTTGGCAGTTTAATGGACTGTATTGCCCGTGTGAAGTTTTTATAGCTCCAATAGCAAGAAAAACCCGAGATATTCGACGCTCTTTTTGAAAATATAATGACATCATCTACATAGACGTGATATATTTTCCCCATGTGTTCTCTTAGAACATCATCTATTACCCTCTGAAAAATACTTGGAGCGTTTTTCAATCCATACGAAAGTCGGCAAAACTCGTACTTCCCACTGTTGACAGAAAAGTCGGTTTCTCCCTATCCCCTCCTGCCAGCTCGATCTGATGTTATCCTCATTTCAGGTCAAAAGTCGAGAAATACTGCGAGTTTCCCATGTACACAATTACTAAATTTCTTATCTACTACCCAAATAGGATTATTATAATGCCTAAACTCCGCATTTACGAAGTCAGATACCCCTAAAGGGTTTAAAAAGAACAGTGTTTATGTTAAATGGTACAGCTACTTTATTATGAAGTGGCGGTGTTGGTAAAGTTGATGCGCGTTGCATCATTTGTGGGTTCGAATCTTAGTATCGTTATGTCGATTCTTATTTGTTTTTTTTTTTTTGTTAATACTCTATACAAACTACGAAAAATATTTAAAAACGCAGATATGACTGAGATCAGGGTAAGCATCGGGAGCGTCAACGTCAGCATTTACTACATCTTGTAATGTTTGCATTAGTGTATTTTTGTCAGACGTTCGAATGACATGCCTTGTCTTTGTTTGAAACAGTAAGAATGCTCTTACTGATGAAATGTCTGCTTATTCAATGGTAATTTGATTCCTGAAACAATTGACCGGCTTGTCCGTTGCGTCCGTTACGTCAGCCACTCTGTTCTCCTTTCCTGGATTGTAAATAATTTTCGCATTGTGTTTATCAATGAAGGATTTCCAGCGTTTTATTTTCGCATTTGCATTTCGATCCGAGAGCGCAAAAGTCAGCGGTTGATGGTCCGTATAAATGTTTAAGTCTCTAACTACCTAATGGTAATTCCAATTGCCAAGAGTTCCCTCTCATTGGTTGCTAACTCAGATTCCTTATCTCGCAAAGTCGTTGAAATCACCGCTATAGGTGTCCCGGTCTTGTGAGAATTCTGCTCCAAGGCCGTGTCCTGAAGCATCAGTTGTTAGATCAAATGGCTTCTTATAATCCAGGTATCTTAATATGACATCTTCAGATACTAAGATGTTTTTAGGTCTATCAAGCGTTTGCAACTGTTTAGCTGTAAGTTCGATTTTGACCTTTCTGGAATCATTGGTGCTTACCTTAGCAGTGACCCCTTTAAGTATATCTGTTAGGGGTGTTGCGATTGCAGCTAAGTTTTTTATAAAACATCTATAATAACTAGATAGACCGAAAAAATTACATTAACTCATATAGATATGTTGGCAGTTTAATGGACTGTATTGCCCGTGTGAAGTTTTTATAGCTCCAATAGCAACAAAAACCCGAGATATTCGACGCTCTTTTTGAAAATATAATGACATCATCTACATAGACGTGATATATTTCCCCATGTGTTCTCTTAGAACATCATCTATTACCCTCTGAAAAATACTTGGAGCGTTTTTCAATCCATACGAAAGTCGGCAAAACTCGTACTTTCCACTGTTGACAGAAAAGTCGGTTTTCTCTCTATCCCCTCCTGCCAGCTCGATCTGATGTTATCCTGATTTCAGGTCAAAAGTCGAGAAATACTGCGAGTTTCCCATGTACACAATTACTAACTTTCTTATCTACTTCCTAAATAGGATTATTATAATGCTTAATCTCCGCATTTACGAAGTCAGATACCCCTAAAGGGTTTAAAAAGAACAGTGTTTATGTTAAATGGTACAGCTACTTTATTATGAAGTGGCGGTGTTGGTAAAGTTGATGCGCGTTGCATCATTTGTGGGTTCGAATCTTAGTATCGTTATGTCGATTCTTATTTGTTTTTTTTTTTTTTGTTAATACTCTATACAAACTACGAAAAATATTTAAAAACGCAGATATGACTGGGATCAGGGTATCTCCTAGTCGGGCACCCCGACTAGAGCTTTCTTACTTGTTTTATGCTATTTTTGTATTCCAAAAAATCAAATGAAATTCGCATTTACATGAAAAACATTGAGTTGAGACACGGAGTTTCATTTATTAAGTACTTTATCGTTTTACGACGTTGGGCGCCAATTAATTAAAGACTCTTTTTAACTGTTGAATATTTACTCGCCTACTGGCCGACTCAAATTATAACTAGAACCACAGCAGCGGTCAAGAACTTATGACTCAGCGTCTCGTTCCACCCGGCAGTGCGACCGACTGAACTGATTATTCAGTGCTTTCGGCTATGTTGTAATCGTTTCCGCTATTCTGTTTATTTGGCTGGTAAAAACTTATAGTCTTTTATATCAGGAATTAGTATAAAAAACAATATAATTATCTAAATACCATTTTGGCCATGTGTCATTTATCACATGTGATAAATTTCACATGGTCAACTTGGTTGACAGAAAACTGTGAAGCATTCTGTGCATATATTCATATTAAAACTTAAAGAATTTACTTTCAAATGCCATGACATACATTTTTATATTATCTTGCTTGTCTTAACAAGATTCTATGGTTTAGCTTTTGGGTGCGAATTGGCCTTCTGTGCACTTCTTTAATTTCTGAAAATTTATTTTATAAACAAAAAATTATTTTTTAAAAAATAGTTTTTTAAAGCAATTCTACCCTAACAAACATGCTGATTTGAAAGTTTTGGATGTGGGTATAAGACGAAAACGCTCACCATTATGTTGACTCTTTTGTTGTCGCTCTCTTCAGATTTGAAGTGACCTGCAAAGGAATCTGGAATACTAGTAATGGGAGATTTTATTTTGCCTGCGTAATCTGTGAGGACTGATGCAAGAACAATACCTTCACCCTGCTGTCATATGTATGATTTGGTTCTCTTGTCTTAACAAAGCTTAACATTCAGTGATCTCCTCATAAGTACATTAGTGCGTTGATGTTTCAACAGGTAAAATTTCTCATTCGTTCTGACTTGCAATACAGAATAAAATCAGTGTCTGTGCGCGTCAGCTTATATATTTTGTATTCTCAAACCGCAAGGGTCAATTAAGAAAAAGGCGTTAATAAAAACAATTAAATACAATACATTTCTGAGGTGTACACAATCATCGTTTATTTTTTTTTTTCAAAGTTGTTTCACATTTTCGGTTACGCTGCAATATGGCGCGCATAAAAGCTGAATGCTCCCTTCAATCATTGATCAGAAGTCAGCGACATGGAAAACGCAGAACAAAGTTCGCCCAGTAAATATTAAGCGATATTAATGCAAACATATACTAACCCACATTTAATTTTGCAGGAACAAATCGTTAATATCTTAGAAAAAAGATAAAAAGAAAACGGATGTATAATTAAACTGCGAAAGCTGTCACACAATTTTAATCTCTCACTCAAATACCTGATCACAACAGATCAAATAGCCAGCCCAAGTGTTACCATAGAAGTTTGATGTGGTATCACAACCTATTCATGCATGAACTTACAAAATCGAGGATGTCGTCGAGGATGTCGAGGATGTCGTCTACGCACTCAGGTTGAAGTGTTCTTGAAGACTAGGACATCAAGACAAACATAAATGCCTAACACCTCGTTGCTGACTACATATAAATTAATAAGTGAACGGAAGCTTATCGACGTCGGTGCAGCGGCAGCAGATTTCAGCAGAACGAAGTGGATTTGGAGTGGATGGGGACCAGACGCTGACTTTGTTTTATGTGGAAAATATAGTTTGAAGCGGATGGAAGCCAGACGCTGAGTGTGTTAAAAATATTGTTTTGACAATATTTGAATGTTCAAATTCTTAACTCCTCCCCTCTTAGTGTGTGGTCATGTGTGGTCTCTTAGAAAAATGGGATGTTGTTAAATTGCATGTAGCACGGCTTGGGTTGTTGTGCTTCTTCTTCAGCGGTTGGTGGAGCCAGCTGTAAAATGATTTTTCTTGTTTTTTTTTGCTAAGAATTACGGTGGTCAAGGTTATAGTTATGAGGAAGAACGGTGTTATTGATGAGATACCATTGTTTTAATTCGCAGTTCTTCGATTTCTTGTGTTGCTTATGTGAAGAGCTTGGATTGCTTTTAGGGAAAGGACTTGTAGTCGTTTAGTTTCTTCCAAAGTTTTTTGTATGGTTGGTGAGATTGTTTTTCTGATTATGATTTCTAGGTTATTGAAGCTTATTTCTTTGACGTTAATTGATTTGTTACAGAATTTGGTGAGATAGGTGCCCCTCAGTGTGGTAATGTTGTTTTGCCGGGAGACGGTGCCGTTGAAATTGTTGAGAAGAACCCGTGCATTGCTAAACTCACAAAGCGCATGTTCCCGATATCAGTTTGATATCATTGAAAATGGGAAATCAGGGTATAATGGTTTTGTGCAAATGTATGTAACAAGCAGAAGGAGGCGTGGCAGACCCCATAAAGTATATATATTCATGATCAGAACGACAAGCCGAGTTGATTGAGCTCCGTCCGTCTGTCTGTCCGTCCGTCTCTCCGTATATCTGATCGCGTCAATCTCCCTCGGTGAGATGGTTAAAATAAATTCACAACTGGTTGGTTTGCGAGTCAAAATTGAAGTATTTTATTCAATTTCAAAAGTTCTTAGCTTTGTTCTAACTGCTGCCGAGCGTCACACGTCCGCCTCGTTCGGCTTTGTTATTGCTTCTCATTTTCGGTCAGTGACGTTACTCCCGCGCATTGCCACACAGGCAGAGTTGCTGGTGGGTGCGAGGTGGCTTGAGAGGGTGCGAAGCTGTGGCCAGCCTCGGGATGGTAACTCCTCCGGGTATTTTTTTTAATGTTGTCCCATTAATGGACAATGGTATAAGGTGATATAGATGGTTTTCTTCTCAAAATAAAATTGGTATTTTAATCTTAAAGATACTAATCTCATTTTCCGTATATGCTTCCATCTGAAGCATGTTGTACATTTCGAATCTGTCTTCACGGTAATATTTTGTGCGTTGAACATAGTTTTTATTTTTCGAAGCTCAAGATCTTTAAGTATAAAACGTGGTAGAAAATTTAATTTAATGAATAACAAACTTTCTGCCAAATTGTTTAAATGATTAAAGAGGATATCAATGTTAAAGCTTATTCTATTTGCTAATAATAATGTTTGGATGTTCTCTTGTTCGGAGTTAATGTCTTTAAAAATTTTATTTTGGTATGAATAACAACAAGGTCGTTAGTCGTTATTTGTTCATTGTTTATATGTTCCAAAATGGTTTAGAATCTAATTTGCGTTTCTGCTTGCAACGAGCGCAGTATGTTGGTGTTATTTTGTATTATTTGCTCTAGGTTTTCCTCATTCGCTTCAAAACAAGTCGAATCCTCTGCATCCATGTTACCGGTTATTGATTTAATGACGGATCCCAATCCATTAATAAGACCCCTTTTCTGTCGTGTGGCATAAGATTGGAGAGTTAACTTTTAAGTTGGGCTAATCTTCTTTGCAATGTTATTTTTAGGTCGTGAAGATCTGGGCTTATTGGAATATTGTCCACAAGGGGCTCGAACTCCCTGATAGTGTGTTCGTTATCTCCGAGGTTAGCCAGGTGATTAAGAATTTTAAATTCTTAGATTATTCTGGTTGGGCCGAGGTCGAATTTGTTGTGTAGTTGATCGTTGTTTAGTTTGTCTATTTTAAGACTTGGCTAGTGGCAAATCTGAAAGGAGAATTCTCCTGATTTTTGCCTTATGTAGTTTTTGACCAGTAGATGTAATTAGTGTTACCCCTTCATTCGGAAAAACTATTGGTTAACTTGTTCCTTCTATTTTCCTTTCTAAAGATTATGTCCCCTTCTTTTACAGCCTCTGGTGTTTTCCTGTTGGCATTTAGTTTTTCTGTGCTCAGTTGGGGTTGTTTGTTTAGCTGCTGTTCAATTGTTGGATATAAGTTAGATCTGATCTGATTGTTAAGGTAATCGTGTACTGAATTTGGCGTGAACAAAAACATTCGAAAGTATGGGTTCTACCTGTGAAGGCTTCATACGGTGTGAGATTTGTGCTCGAGTGTTTTGAGTTATTGTATGGTATGATGGTATCCGTTAGTATGTCTTCGTGGTCTAAAGTGAGTTTCTGTTCTTTCCTTTTATTTAAGATTATTCTATAAATTTCGGTAAGGGTTGAGTGGAGTCATTCTACTGGAGCGTTGCTAGAAGATTGTTGGAATGATGTCATGTGAAGCTTGATATCGTACTGATCGCAAAAGTTTTTAAAGATTTTCCCTGCGAATTCTGGCCCTTGGCCGCAAACTATTTTCTTTGGAATGCCGAACGTTTTTATAAAATTGTTAATGGATATTACGATTTTAATGGCGTTCCTATTATCGATTGTGTATGCTTGCGCAAATTTAGAAAATTTATCAATGACTGTCAAGTTATATGCTTTGTTAATAGTATAGATGTCTATGTGTATAATTTGTAGGGGTAGGGACAGAATTTCAGGGATGAAAAAAGGTACTTGTTGGGGATGTCTGTCTTATTTTGTTGTTAGAAAAATGCTGCAGTTCTTTATGGTTTTGGTCACTATTGATTTTAGTTCCCTTTTGAGACGTTGATATGTCTCATCGATAGCCCTGTGGTTTTTGTCTGTGTGGTACTTCGAGATGATTTTATCCAATTGTGTCAGGTCAGTTATTTCCTTCAATATGTTTTTGCATCTGACTATTTTGAATGAATCGTTATTATTGGAATGCATATTGTTTATGCTTTGAATGTTAGAAAAGGTATGATCGTCCGCCATTATGGCGTAAATTTTGTGAGGTTTGATACCATCCCTAAGTATGGATTTTATTATTTGCTCGTTGATAGTGGGGAAATGAAATATTCGTCTTAATTTGTTCTTAAACGAAGATATTATTTTATTTGTGAAGTTGGGCCCGTTTTCGAAGTTTATTTGGTATTTAAAGTCATTTATAGGTGTTTCGGTATATGGTATGTTTGATGTTGTCAAGTCTATGTTGTCATTTCAGTTGCATTCTACTCTACTCAACACAGCTGCCACTACGTTCTGGGAGACTTTTTTGTACACTACTTCGTAGTCATATTCTAGGAGTTGTCGTTTCCATCGGACAAGCTTAGAGTGTGGCTCTTTTAAGTTCATTAATCAGGTGAGAGGTCTATGGTCTGTAACAAGTGTTACTTTGTTGCCGAAAATATAGGGTCTGAAGTGTTTTATAGCCCAGACGATGGCTAAAATTTCTTCTTCTACTGTTGAGTAGTTGATTTCCGTATCAGGAAGTGTTATGCAGGCATACGCTACAGGTTTGTCGTTAGAAACACAACCTTGTGAGAGTACTGCGCCTAGCGCGAAGTTGCTTGCATCTGTTGTGAGAACAAAGGGTTTATTGAATTGGCGAAGTCCCTAATGAATTTCCTATCAATGATTTTAACTCACTCCTATTCCTTGGGTAAGGGAAGTTTTTAATTGTGTCTATCTTGTCTGGTTTTATTCCGTTTCCTGTAAAAATCTGCCCTAGAAAGTCGATTTCCTTCCTGAGAAACTCCGATTTGATAATCTGAATCTTTAGGTTAGCTGCTCTTAATTTTACAAAAACGCTCGAAATGTCGTTAATATGGTGTTGCAGTGATGGTGAAAAGATAATTATATCGTCTAAGTAGACCAAGCAAATGGGACCAACAAGGTCGCCTAGGACGTTGTCCATGACTCGTTGGAATGTGGCGGTGGCGTTTTTCAGCCCGAACGGCATACGGACAAACTCATAATGCCCGTTTTCCACAGTAAATGATGTTTTTGCCATTGTTTGCTATTTGTTTTTTTACTTCTAAATTGGGTATGGTGCAGTATCTATAGGTGGAGTATATTTGTGTAGATGGGTATATTATCCGATGTGGGTATCGTATGCCTAATTTTATTCGAAATGTCGGAAAAGCGGTGTTCATATATTCCGTGTTCCGTGTTCATATATTCCGTTCTAATACATGTTAGATCAGTACAATGAGTAATGAGAGGGGATGAGCCACTGTTCAGGCTAGGGATTTGAATATTATTGTCTTTTTGGTATGACTCTACTCTTAAGGGTAGTTCTTGGCAGAACAACAGTTCCTCAAATGAGCTATTTATTATATCTACTTTTCCCATGTTGTCCTCTGATTTAAATATTTCCTCTGATATGATAACGCTATCTTTGATATTTTTTTGTTAGCAGTAAAAGTCGCCGTTTTGAATTGCAACTGGTATTGAAATGATGTTTTTCGATTCTGCTGACATGTGATAAATTTCGGATGAATTATTGGCACCGTTGAAAATGTTTAATGACACTCTTGGTGCTTCGAGTATTATTAGATCGTATAGATTTATTTCCGCACTATGTGCATTAAGAACGTCCATGCACAGTAGGCCTTCGAAAAATGAATGGAATTTAAATTGCAGTAAATCGCATAAGCCGTTTTGTTTAAATTCAGAAAATAAAGGGGT